GGGAGAGTCCATACATCCTCCTCCGGGGACGGTTTGTCCCTGGGCCAGGTGCCGGAAGAACCCTCAGTAGTGGACGCCCTGCGTTAGCCTCCGTGTGGGAGGGGCCTCCACACTGTCTGTGGGAGGCGGAGTTAAGCGACGGCTCGTTCTGGTGCAGGGACCCTGCAATGCTTGCTTTCTTTCTGACGCGCGACTTCCACGGAGTGTCTGAGGGCCTTCTGCCGCGTACCACGGCTGCGTGGCCGGGTCGTGGTTCTGGTAACTGGACATGTTCCCTGCAGAGACACGATTCTCCATGAGTTCCGGAGAGTTTTCCCATGTTGTGTCCTTGAACGCTGTCTCGTGGGTGCACAGAGCCCTGCGCCGTGGAGCGCCATGTGTCTCTACCACGTGTCTCTACCACGTGTCTCTACCACGTGTCTCTACCATGTGTCTGTATCAGGCCCTCCGGGAACTCTGCACTTGTCTGTTTTGCTTTTCATTGCTTGGATCCATCCTTCCTTCCTTCCTTCCTTCCTTCCTTCTTTCTTTCTTTCTCTCTCTCTTTCTTTCCTTCTTTCTTCACTGTTTATTTTTGACTTTCCTCTAGTTAACAATTTTTTAAAATCTTCTTTAGTTCTTTATAGATTCTATCTCATAGATTCATTTTCTGATGTTTTTGATGACAGTTTATTTCTCTAGATCTGTGGCCTTTATAAATTTTTTTCCTTCTTGTCTTTAAATGCTGATTTGAGTTCTCCAGGTGTGGAGCTGGCTCTCACTAAGTTCTGTGGCTTCAGGGCCCTTCAGGGAGTCCCCCTCCCTGGTCTTTGATAGACAGTGGCTTCCCTGCCTTCCGGGAGCCCAGGTGTGTGGCGGCCCCGCCTTGCGGTCTGCTGGCTTTGCAGTCTTCGTGCCTGAGCAGGTAGGCCCAGACCTTTGTTGTTCTCGGAGTGGGTGATCTCTTGTTTTAAAGCCTCCTTCTTTCCTCCGTGTGGCCAGCTGACGTTCGGAGCCTGGTTTTTAGTTCCTGCCCGTGATTCCTGGGGCCTGAGGTCATACAGAATGGCCGAGGCCGGCTGAGTTGTCTTGTCTGGAAGGTGTGGGCTTGGCAACTGTTGCTTCTAGGATTTAAAAAAAAACTTGGCAAGCTGAAGCTGGGAGCGAGAAACGCCATCTGGGTCTCTGTGCCGGCGGCAGGGACTGAGTCCTCGAGCCATCACCTGCTACCTCCTAGGACGTGTGTTATCGGGAAGCAGGAATTGGGAGCGGGCAGGGCCTTGAACCCAGCCAGACGCTGTGGTATGAGTGGGAGGCAGCTTAACCCCTAGGCCAAAGTCCACCCCCTCCAGTCTTCCCCAGTGGGGCCGGACAGCACGTGCTGGGCAGCCTTCTCTGGTCTCAGGTGAGCCCCGGAGTTCACCGGGTGTCCCCCGAGCCATTGCTGGCTTCCAGCGGACACGGCCAGCCCCACGCTGCCAGGGTCTTTCCCCCCTTCCTCGCCAGTGGGGGTGTAAGGGTCAAGATGCAGGGGTGCGGGAGGCGCGGAGACAGCAGGTAAGGCAGGGGAGGGCAGCAGAGTGAAATGTGGTGGGCCCTCGTCTTCGGCTCCCTGCCCAGGACAGCAGAGACCCACATCCACCACGGTCAGACGGGCCTGGCGGGGCAGAAGCCCCCCGGGAAGGGGCTTATCTGGATCAGTGATATACCCTGTGCAGTCTTATCAGCCCGGTCGCCAGCAAGGAGCTGTCGGGGCCGAGCTGGCAGCATCTCAGGCAGTGAGACACCACGGCACTGTGCCCTCAGTGTGGCCGCCTGTGACAGTGGCGTGGCAGTCCTGGGGTTTTGTGGCTCACAGGTCCCTCAGCCTGCAGGTGCGTGTGGGGCTGTGGCCTTGCCACGCAGCGTCCCTTGTGGGCTCTTGTGTTTGGTGACTTGGGGGGGTGATTACTTTAGGGTTTTGTTGGCAGGCTTTGGCATGGGTGAGGCCTTAACTCTGCCACTTTAGCCAGGCAGGGTGAGTTGTGTGCCCGTCCACTGTGCACCGTCCGTGACCTGTGTTTGGGTTTGCTCCCGACGGCTCTGGTTCCTCTTTGCTTTCCACTGATTTCTGTTCTTCCTGTAATTATGCAATGGGATGATGAGGGTGAGGGGATCCTCACGGCGGGGGAGGGAGCCACAGCGCAGCCCCGGTGGCCAGGGGACAGCCCGGTTCTGAGGACGTGGCCCGTTCCGGCGTGCACATCCATGTTGATTTCATCTCACACGGTCCAGGGCACAGATGCCACTGCGTGCTGAGCCGGGGCACAGGGTGCTGCAAGCTCAGCTGAGTTCCCAGTGCTCACGTGAGGCCACAGTGGCCCCGTCCACGCCTGACCTCGGGGGACACAGGGGACCTGGCGTGCACGTCCCCTTGGGCTGTGTGCGCACCAAGCACGGGTGTTCCGGCCTGCGTCCCGCTCCCCAGGCGGCTCACTGCGTGCACGCAGATTCCCAGATCTCCCGAATTCTCTGACCCCAGTGCTTGGAGATGGCCGCTCAGCCCGCGTTTCTGTGCCACCGACCAGGGTAGCAGGGCTCGGAGCTCCGGCTGCAGCTGGCACAGCCGGTGCTGGGTCCTGGCGCGCTCAGGCCCGCCCTGCTCTGAATCCTGTCTTCCCACAGCGCCCCCGACCCAGAGAGCTGGTGCAGCAAGTGCCATGTCTGTGCCATTCGGCAGGAGCCGTGCTCTCTTCCCAGATCTGACATTTTCCAGGCATCCTTGTGGCCCGGTCACTGCCATAGCTGTTGTTCCTGGCTCTGCCTGCACCTGTGTGTCTGTTCTTTAAGCAGCCACAAACCTATTGAACATTTTGTCATCTGACCTTCCTATAATTGCTTTATTGTGGCGAAGCGCTCCTGCCGTTTAGCATCTGGGGCATTTTTGTGACCCAGCAAAGCACCTCGAGGCACCACGTGGCCCTCGCCACCCCCTGCCCCTGAGCCTGCTACCCCCCCCCAAGGACTGACACCCCATGCACGCTGAGCACCTGTTCCCTGTCCCCACTTCTGCCGGCGCGGCTTGGCCAGCCGTGGCTGTCCTTGCTGGCTGGCTGAGTCTGACTGCCGTAAGGACCTCCCGTTCATGGGTTGCACACTTGTCTGCCCTCTCGTGACTGGCAGATTTCACCGAGCGTCACGTCCAAGTTCATGTCAGTTTCCTTCCGTGTGCAGGCTGAGTGAGATTCCCCGGCGCGGCGTTCCCTGTTCCAGTTCTGTTTCCCTTTCTGCCCGTGCTGGCGTGGGTGGCTTCCCCACGGGAGCCGTGGAAGAGTGTCCCTCCACTTCCACGCTGACCTCCTGAGGGGCCAGGCCAGCTCGGCTGCAGAAGGTCCCCGTTCTGAGCGTGTCTGAGGATTTCCCCGGGTTCCCCGATGTGTCTGCACTTTTCTCCTTATACACTGGAAATGCGGTTTGGCTTGGTTATGTTAGAAAAGTGGCCAGGGATTCCCACGAGGACCTCATGCTGGATTGCCTGCTCGTCTGCTGCCTGGTGCGAGGGCTGACCGCGGGCAGAGCGGGTGGGGAGGGCAGAGCCGGTGGGGACGGGCAGAGCTGGGTGGGGACAGTCAGCGCCGGGCATGTGAAGGGCCGTCCACGCCAGTGACTGGGTCGCGCTCTGTTACTGTGTTTCTCACACACCAGGCAGCCGCCGGAACCCTGAGTAGGCGCTAACTTGGCTACCACGGTAATGCCGCTCCCATTCATTGAGCCTTCACTGCGTGCCTGCCTGGCGGCGGGTGAAGTGGGTGGCACACACTGGCTCTTCCAGCCTGTGGGGGTGGCAGTGTTGTCTCCATTCTGCGACTGAGCGGTGGCGACCCCAGCTGCACCTGTTGGGAAGCCCCTGCCCAGCCCGGCTGCACCAGCCCCCTCTCCCCCCGGGTCTCCCCGCAGTTGCACCGTGGGCGTCTGCCTTGCCTTTGTGGTTGACCGTATGTGCCGGTTAAGACCCTGGCTCTGAGGCAGATGCCAGGATTCCAGCCCCGGCCCTGGCTGTTGTCCATGACCTGGGTGGGCTCTCACGCTTCGGATTCCTGCTTCCTGATCTGTCACCAGGGGTTGGCGACGCCCTGCTCCTGGGTGTCCCCTGCTCCATGCCACACTGAGGCACCTGCATCGCTGCCTTTGCCCTGGTCCCTGGAGGCCATTCCCAGAGTCCTCTTGGCTTGGACGGTTTAGCTGTAACCCACAGAGGAGAGACGTGGGCACAGCTGACAGGCAGGGGTGACCGTGGTTCAGAGCCGGGCTCCGCATGACAGCTGCGGGCCACGTCCGGCCTGGCGCCTGCTCGGTGCCTGTCACTGCAGCACAGCCGCACAGATTCCTTTCACCGTGTGGTCATGGGGCGGGAGCACATGGCGAGCCGAAGGGCCAGCGGATCCTAAAATAGCCACGGCCTGGCCTGTCACAGAGCGAGCTCGCTGACCCCTGCTCTGGAGTCTTCTAGCATTCCAGTCTGGGAGTCTCAGTCCCCCGAGAGGATGCTGCTCCAGGTCCTGACCCCCAGCCCCCCACCCGCTTTTCAGTCTTCTCCACTGTGGGCCAGTGGCTGACCCCGTCAAACAGGAGGGCCCCTCCCACAGGCCTCAAGTGTCTGCAGACCGAAGGCTCATGGGAGCCGTGAGGGTCTCAGCTGGGAGCCATGTCCCCATGTCGGGCTCATGGGTGCCGTGTCCCCGTGTCGGGCTCATGGGTGCTGTGTCCCCGTGTCGGGCTCGTGGGTGCTGTGTCCCCGTGTTGGGCTCGTGGGTGCTGTGTCCCCATGTCGGGCTCACGTGTGCTGCGTCCCCATGTTGAGCTCATGGGTGCTGTGTCCCCGTGTCGGGCTCACGTGTGCTGTGTCCCCGTGTCGGGCTCATGGGTGCTGTGTCCCTGTGTCGGGCTCATGGGTGCTCCCCGTGTCGGGCTTGTGGGTGCCATGTCCCCGCATCAGGCTTGTGGGTGCCGGGTCCCCATGTCGGGCTCATGGGTGCTGTGTCCCCGTGTCGGGCTCATGGGTGCTCCCTGTGTCAGGCTCATGGGTGCTGTGTCCCCGTGTCGGGCTCGTGGGTGCCGTGTCCCCGGCTGCTCAGAGGGTTATCACTGATCAGCGCGCGCCATCCGCGCCTGACGGGGAGAATGTGTCTCCCGTGTTCCGTGTGGGCTCCGTGCTGCAGAGGCCCCCTGTGCTCCGTGGACAGTGTGGTGCGGAGCCCATGGAGAGACACTGGCAGCCCCTTGTCTTCCTCTGGCGCTTGGCCCCGCCTCTCCTCTCTGTCACCCTGCCTGGCTTCTAGGGGGTTGTCTTCTCTGAAGCTCACGGCTAACCTGAGGCCCATTCGCTGTGCTGCTCTGATTATCCGGCCTTGCCCGGTGCAGGGGCGCTCAGGGACACCCCCACTGGAAAGGGGCTCCCATGGGCCTCCCCGAGAAGCTCTGCCGGCGTCTACAGGGACAGATCCGTGTCCTGCCCTGCCCTGCCCTGCTCTGTTGTAAACCAGAGTGGAGGCGCCGCCCCTCGCCCCATCACATACGTCTTAAGGAGGAAGCGGGCTCGCTGCAGAGGCACGTGGGGCCTTCGGGGAGGTTGTTCTTGGTTTCCCCTGCACGTAGGGACGTTCCTGAGGTGGCCGTGCCCCCTGTGGCGTGATCACCACATCCCGCGTGGGAGTGCGGGTGGGGAGGCCGCGGCCCTGGAGCTCCCTGTGCCTGGAGGGTCCTGCCGACCTGCCGCTGCCCCCAGGGGGCGCCGCTGTGCACACCTGCTCCCTCACCACAGCATTGGTTCCACGGCCGCGTCTGTTCTAAGCCGCCATCTGCACTCTGCGCTGGGAGTGCATTAGTCACTGTGGGAACCGTGGCGTCGCTGGTGGGGGTGAGGGTTCGTCCCGTCCACAAGGGCAGTGAGAGAATTTCACTTCGTGGCTGGGGACCCACAGGGCGCTCCGGCGAGGCAGAGGCTTCCGCGGTGAGCTGTCGTGGTGCAGGCCTGAAAATCCACATCTGTGTTCAGGTTGTGAATGAAAACGTGGCTGAAAATTAAGAAATGAATACAAGAGAGAGAAAAGGGAAGGTGGGGGGATCCCGTGTGGCTGCTCCTGGCCCGCTAGGCCTGTCTCTGAAGGTGGCCCTGCCCACCTGGGTGCACCGGTGCCTGGCCCAGGCGTAGGCTGGATGAGCCCGCGGCCCCCCTCCTCTGGGGTCTATCTCTGGCTTTTTGGCTGCGGCCGCTCCAGGCAGTGGCCACTGGGTTCTGGTGCGCAGTCAGACCCTGACCGAGACCCCGAGGGGGCGTCGGTGGTGCCGGGGCTGTGACAGAGACTCCCGGTGACTGCCGTCACGTGTGGCAGCAGGGGCGGCACGGAGGCTGTGGGGTGGAACCTGGGCTCTTTGCCAGGTGGGCGGGCTCTGCGCAGGACATCTGCATGAAGCCGGCCACCCTCCCCCCCTTCCCGTGTCTCAGAGGAGGAAGAGCCGTGCACGGACCGGTGTGCCCCTGCCACCCGCTCAGCCGCTGGCCCCTTGAGGGACGTGTGGGCGGTGCTTTTCCCGATGCAGGTGCTGGCAGCAGGGCCCAGGCTGCCCGTTCCCTGCAGGGAGGACAGCAGGCTCTGCAAAGGGACGGCTCGGCCACTGGTGAGAACAGGGGCGTCCGTGGCCTCTCGGGTGGGGCTGGTGTCCGATGCACGCAGCGGCCGCAGCACTGTGAGGTCTGCATTTGTCCTGCAGGAGCTGAGAAGGCTCCATCCTGCACGGCCGAGGGGGCCAGCGCCACTTCCGTCCTGCGGGGCCCCGAGACCCTGGTGGGGGACGGAAACCCCAGCTCTCTCTCTGGGGCAGGGCGTGGAGGAAGTCCCTTCTGTGGGCTCACCGGTCACTTGCTGCTGAGAAGTGTTCCGCTCGGCCGTCCCCCACGCGTGCTCTGGGGTTGTGTGACCGCCGGACAGTAGCCCCGAGCCCTCCCGCACGTCCCAGCCACAGGTCCCTGTTTCTCCGTAGGGTTCATCGGGAGTGGGCGGAGCTGTCAGGCCCAGCGGTTGGACGTTGCTCTTCCCACAGAGATCGGTCATTTCCCCATCTTCTGACCCCTGGCCCCGCCTCCAGCCTCCCCCACTGCCTCAGCCATGCACCTGGAGAGCGCCGGGTTGGGCACTGGACCTGGACCTGTAAAAGCCACTCAGGGGAACTTGGTTTGGAAGCGTCTGTCACTCAGCGGTCAGCACTTGGACTTGCTGTCCGGGCTGGGCAGGGGCGCCGGCCCCCTGAGGAGTCAGTCGGTGTGTCCCTTTGGCCCTGGGCTGGGGAGGAGGCGTGGGCACGGGCAGCAGGGCTGTGGCTGTCAGCTCCTGGGGCTCAGCACTGACCTGACCTCCCGCCATTGCCTTTCCTGCCCCGCCCTCCCTGGCCAGGTCCGGTTCCTCTCTCGCGGGGCCGCCTTTGCAGTGGACCCTGTTGGGACACAGAAGCCCTGAGGTCGGCGCCTCCCAGCACAGCTGCCACTTTCTGGAGAGCTCAACCCTCGGCAGCAGCGACGCCACATGTCGGCAAACGTCCTGCCCGTGTACGGCGTCGGGCGGGCTGCAGTGGCCATGCTGGCGAGCGAGGGGCGGTGCCGCGGTGCAGCTGAGCAGGCGTCCAGGCCCCTGGCTGGGCAGGTGAGAGGGAAGCAGCACCCGCCCTGCCTTCCAGAGCCAGCGCCCTGTGTGCTCGCTGGTCTTGAGGTTCACGCATGCTTCAAGGCGGGGTCACGGCGAAGCACCTGCCCCTCAGTTGCTGTGTGTGCAGCCGGCTATCACTCACTCCACCCCCATGGGATGCGTCCTTTGTGAGATGGGTGCCGAGACCCGGGGACTTGTTGCTTGCTGTGTCAGCGGGGGCTTGGGCCCGGGGGACGCCAGTCTGGGACCAGAGCATCCAGTCCTTGCCCAGCCTGGGGTGGCCCACTGGGCACTGCCTCACCTGGGCACCCTGAGACGCCTGAGACCCGGAGTCTGCAGCCCACGGCTCCTGCACCTCCAGGCACACAGCTGCCCTGTGCAGGGCTCGCCCTGCTCCGTTCCCTGCAGTTTGGCCTCTTTTATGCCTTTGATCACACTTGAAACAGCTGCGGGTTTTAAATGCCAGCTTTTGATTGACAGCCCTCAGTGACCACGCAGGCAACCCGTGGTCTCACAGCTACTCCTCGTACGCCATGTATGCAGGAGTTCCGGTTCCAGCCGCTCTTGGAGGCAGCCTTGTGTTCGTCCTCTCCACGTTCCAGCTCAGCGGGATCCCGCCGCACGCACCCTGTGCATCCTGCACTTCGATGTCCGACCCTCGTCCCCTGCCCTCCTAGCACTGAGACGCAGGGGACAGCGGGGGGGGTGGCAGGGTGCACTCGGTCAGCCAGCTGCAGAAGCTCTCCCGGGCCAGGGGCAGGGTGTTGTCTCTGCTTCTGGTTCCAGCTTCCTGCTGGTGGGCGTGTGCCCTGGAGGCTGTGGAGCTGGCTCAGGTGCCGGGGCCCTGCCACCGACGTGGGAGATGCAGGAGGAGGCCTGGCTCCCGACTTCACCTGGCCCAGCCCTGGCTGCGGGGGCAGTCGGGGAGTGAACCAGTGGATGGAAGACCTCTCTCCTCTCAACCTTTCAAATAAAATGAAAATAAATATTGATTAATTTTAAAAACTAATTGTTTTAAATATAAAAGCAAACTTTAACCCCGTGGCATCACGTGCAGAGTTTCATTACCAATCAGTGGTGCAGCGAGAGTGATCGGAGCATTGACCCCGGTTTCCAGGCTTTGTGGGCTAATCTGTTCAGCCCTTGCAAGATCCTGTGGAACAGGCACGGCCATTCCACCTCGAGCATCCTCTGTTCCAAGTGCTGGACCAGGGCCATCTTGGATTGTGACAGAGTTGGACATTTGTGTAGATTTTACCCACCTGTTGCTCTGTGTCACAGCTCAGGGTCTCCGTTCTCGGTTAGGGGCTCCTGGCCGCGTCTCCGTGTCACAGGTGCGGTTTTCTGAGGTCCTGGGTGGGGGCTCACCTGCTTCTCTGTGCTGTGTCACCGGTGAGCGTCTCTGGTCCGAGGCATTAGGGGCCTCCCTGCCGTGTGGGTGAAGGTGGACGTGAGGCAGCAGGTGCTCTGACGCCACAGCCTTTCGTCCACAACGATGACAGACCCTGTTCTTGGTCCCCCAGCGGTGCCATGCCAGTCACAGGAAATCATGAGGTATCTGACTTTTAGTATTAAATGGGATTTAAGTGATTTTCACAACTTCCATCATTCTAGAAGGTTCAGGTGAGTAGGCTTTGATTCCGATTTTGACACTTTGTTTTCCACGTCATCAGGTTGGTTGAACTTCGCGTTTTTTCCGGCTGACTCTGCGCCAGGCCTGTGCGAATCACTTCACTCTCGATGGCCCTGTTCCTTCGTGCCCCAGGCTGGTCGCTGTCGGCCCTGGTTGCTGGGCTCCAGTAGCCAGAGCCCTTCCGGGAAGCCCCCCACCCCGTCCCGCAGCAGGCGCCTGGTGCGGCTCCTCTGGTCCATGCTGCTTCTGTGGGGAGCAGCGGCTCCACCCCATGGGGACAAAGTGGGGGTGCCGAGCCTGCCCCTGTGCCCCAGGTCACCTGGTGGGGCCCGGGTGAGGCCCAGTGCCCTCGGCTCCTCTCTACAGCCTGCGCCAGGCCCGAGAACCAACGCCCACCCCCCTCCCCGCCAGGGCCCCTCCCTAGCTCACAGCCCCTTCCCCAGGCAGAGCCGGCAGTCGCTGTGAATTCCTGAAGCCTCCTGTGGGAAGCCCGCGGCACAGGAAGAGGGCTTTGTGCCAGGGTCCCCGCGGTCCTCCTGGGCTGCACGAGCGGCCCTCGGCGGCCAGTGCATAGCATTTGCAGGGTGTGGACTCTGAAGCTGCCGTGAAGGTCGTCGGGCCCCCGCCCCTCCTTGGCGCCTCAGGACAGAGTCCTCTCCCTGGTGTCCGGCGGTGGGCAGAGCAGAGAGCTGGCTGCCGGGCGGAGCCAGGGCCCTGGGGCACCAGGAGGCTGAACTGGTCCCCCTTAGGTGGGATTTGGGGCTGGCAGCTCTGGGCCGTTCCCCCAGGACCCCTACTCTTGTCTGTCCTTGCCTCGGGGGGGTTCTCCCCCAGTGAGCCGCTCGTCCCCTTGGTGCCCCGATCGAGCCGTGGGGCGTTTTCCCCGAGTGGCACAGCCACGGCATTCCACGTCGGAGGTGCAGAGCAGTGCACCTTGGTCTCGCTGGCTGCTCTCCTGAGCACTTGGGACTCCCACCAGGCCTGCCGGAGCCCCTGGCCCACGGCACCACCGTGGGCAGGCCAGCTCCTGCTTTAAGGTCCATCCTGTAGAGTCGCCCACCCTGGGTGACGAGGGGCACCCTGACGTGGACCCCCGATTTGCTTCTGGATGCTCTGCCTTCTGAGCAGAGGTGAGACCCAGCACAGCACTGGTGCAGCTTCCACAGTTGTGACCTCGCCGGGGACCTTCGGCCAGGTGACCCCAGCACAGGTGTGACCACGCCCGAGACCCTCAGCCAGGTGACCCCAGCACAGGTGTGACCATACCCGAGACCCTCAGCCAGGTGACCCCAGCACAGGTGTGACCTCGCCCGAGACCCTCAGCCAGGTGACCCCAGCACAGGTGTGACCTCGCCCGAGACCCTCAGCCAGGTGACCCCAGCACAGGTGTGACCACGCCCGAGACCCTCAGCCAGGTGACCCCAGCACAGGTGTGACCACGCCCGAGACCCTCAGCCAGGTGACCCCAGCACAGGTGTGACCACGCCCAAGACCCTCAGCCAGGTGACCCCAGCACAGGTGTGACCACGCCCGAGACCCTCAGCCAGGTGACCCCAGCACAGGTGTGACCTCGCCGGGGACCTTCAGCCAGGTGACCCCAGCACAGGTGTGGCCATGACTGTGACCTCTCAGTGACCCCAGCACAGGTGTGGCCACGCCCATGACCTCTCAGTGACCCCAGCATAGGTGTGGCCTAGCCCGTGACCTCTCAGTGACCCCAGCACAGGTGTGGCCACACCCATGACCTCTCAGTGACCCCAGTACAGGTGTGGCCACGCCTGTGACCTCTCAGTGACCCCAGCACAGGTGCACTCAGCCTGCTTCTGGGCGGTTTAAGGACCTCAGCTGTACACAGAAGCCCAGCAGGGGCCGGCGCCGTGGCTCACTAGGCTCATCCTCTGCCTTGCGGCGCCGGCACACCGGGTTCTAGTCCCAGTCGGGGTGCCGGATTCCGTCCCGGTTGCCCCTCTTCCAGGCCAGCTCTCTGCTGTGGCCCGGGAGTGCAGTGGAGGATGGCCCAAGTGCTTGGGCCCTGCACCCCATGGGAGACCAGGAGAAGCACCTGGCTCCTGCCATCGGATCAGCGTGGTGCGCCGGCCACAGCGCCGGCAGCGGTGGCCATTGGAGGGTGAACCAATGGCAAAGGAAGACCTTTCTCTCTGTCTCTCTCTCTCTCACTGTCCACTCTGCCTGTCAAAAAAAAAAAAAAAAAATCCCAGCGGCCCAGCCTCACTGTGGCCATGGCTTCCAGGCCAAACAAGGCCCAGCGTTGGCTCTCGTTAGGAATTCTGACTGCTCAGGACCGTGGGCATCTAACGCGCTTGCTGAGTGGCAGGTGCCAGCAGGTGCTCCCCATTCCCTGTGGGCCTGCAGAACCCAGGCTCTGAAGGTGGCAGAATTCTGCTGACCTGGCCCTGGGCTGGGGTGGGGGAGGGTTCATCTGTAAAGTGTCCAGACCCCCGTTTCCCGCTGGGGTCCTTGCTGGCCTTTTGTCCTGAGAAGGCCAGGGTCAGCGTCACCGCCATCGCCTCGTCAGTGCCACACCCAGGCCACTGCCCCGTCAGTGCCACGTCCCGCACAGATTGAAAGAGGCTTAGAGGTCACTCGTACAGAAGCGACGCACCGTCGGGGGTTTGCTTACTCCCCGTGCAGCTGCTCCCAGAGGGCACAGGCCGTTCCCCGCTCCTGCACAGCCCACAGTCCTGGGGTCCCTCTGGGAGCTGCCCTCACCCCATCTTCTGTGTGTGATGAACGCCGGCAGCCACGCGGTTTATGGGATGCAGCTGCTGCACCTGAGGCCTCGCTCTGCCCGCGAGCCGTGTGCCGTGGACAAGTGGGTGCTCCTCTTTGAAGTGAGGTGCCAACAGCTGTGCCGCCCCCGGTGTCAGGCTTTGATGAGACCCTGTCTGCCGACAGCACCCCCTCGCCATGTGTGCTCCGTGCACACGGAGCCCCAAGCAGGAGAAGAAAACGCCGGCCCGCTCCATGCCACGCGGCAGCAGCTGGCGTGGCCTGCGCTCGGCAGAGTTCAACCACAGCAGGAAGAGAGGGTTGATTGTGCGCCTGCTTGTGGTCTGGTTTGGTTGCTCCACTAGTGATTTGAGAATGCCGCCTGCTGTCCAGCTGCTACACAGCGAGGGGCCGCCTGGGCTGGGCGTGGGTTCCAGGCTGCCCGGGGACCGGGCGCATCTTGCTCTCACACCCTGGGCCACTGTCGTCTGCCTGCTCGACGCCCTGGCTCCCGTAGCTCTTCACCCACCTCACTGCCCTTGAGCAGGTCCAGGTCCGAGAGACCGGAAAGAGACCGAGGCAGTGCTGGCTCACTGCCCCGAATGCCTGCACGGCTGGGGCTGCACCAGCTGAGCTGGGAGCTGGGGTCTCGGTCCAGGTCTCCCGCGTGCGTGGCAGGGATCCAAGTACCCGGGGGCGCGGTAGCAGGAAGCTGGTTTGGAAGCAGGGCCGGGACTCAGGCCCAGGGCTCTGCTACGGGAGGCAGGTGTTTGGTGACGGCTCAACAGCCCCACTGTTCAGCTGTTAACAAGCAGACAGCTGGAGCGCTTAGGGCGACCCCACAGTCAGCCTGCGCGGGTTCCAGTGGCTGCTCCCCCGTCACAGGTGGCGCCGGGCACGTGGAACTTCAGCTCGTTCCTCTGCAAAGTGGAGCCGTGACAGCGCTTGTCTCACGGGGCCAAGTGAGCTTGGGAAAGACGCGCCCGTGGCCGTGCTCGGCACAGGAGCTGCTCCGTGGTAGACGCCTACTGCAGATGGCTGGTGCTCACGCTAGGACCAGCCGCACCTCCACTGTTCTTACAGCGTCGCCCGCCGCGGCCGAGGCGACCTGGTCGGCTCCTGCACGGAGAACCTGTTCTTCCTGGGCCCGGGGTATCACGCCGGAGACGCATGCTCCTTCCATAAACCAGAGTTCTCAGCCGCCGCCTGGACAGAGCCAGGGTGGGGCTCTGCTGAAACGGGTCCACCTGCAGCACCCCCAGGGTGGGGGGCTCTGCGGAAGCTGGGGTCCACCTGCAGCACCCCCAGGGTGGGGGGCTCTGCGGAAGCTGGGGTCCACCTGCAGCACCCCCAGGGTGGGGGCCTCTGCGGAAGCTGGGGTCCACCTGCAGCACCCCCAGGGTGGGGGGATCTGCAGAAGCTGGGGTGCACCTGCAGCACCCCCAGGGTGGGGGGCTCTGCGGAAGCTGGGGTGCACCTGCAGCACCCCCAGGGTGGGGGTCTGCTGAAACGGGTCCACCTGCAGCACCCCCAGGGTGGGGGGCTCTGCAGAAGCTGGGGTCCACCTGCAGCACCCCCAGGGTGGGGGGCTCTGCGTAAGCTGGGGTGCACCTGCAGCCGTTTGAGGGCTTCCTGGTGCTCCCTCAGGCTGTTTGCCCGCTCAGCCCCATCCCCTGAACGTCCCCGGTCTCATCCCAGCCCCTGAATGTCCCCGGCTCTCCTTACAGTGCCCACTGACGCTGGGCAGCAAGCTGTGTCTGTTGGGCTGAGGTGCCAGTGCTGGCTTCTGCTGTGCACGTCCTCCCTGGAAGCTTGGTTGGGGCACCTGTTGGGCTGGCCTTGTGTCACCTGTGGCATCGTGTGGCACCTGGACTCTGCTCTCCCGTCCCGCGGGTCTGGTCTTGCTCGCACAGTAGACAAGGGAAGGCTCTCACGTTGTGCGTGTTCTCGTGGGCGCTTTGCCCAGGCCGTGAAGGTGCAAGTGTGGTATTTAGGTTGGGTGCTTTCTCCGTGGGTTGTCTGAATGATTCATTTTGCATCACTCAGAAGCGCTGTCCTCCGACATCTCGTTCATAAACGCCCAGAGCCCGGAGCCACTTGCTGCACCGCTGAGAATGACGTACCTCAAGGAGAAGTCACCCACAGCCTTCCGCTGTGCCGCCCGGGAGCACGCGGGACCCCTTCTTACTGGAGCCAAAGTGCACTGCGGGCTGGCGCCTCCGTCCCCTGTGCACCTGCCACACGCGCTCCCTGTGTGTGTGCCGTGCGCATCTCCAACTCCGTTCCCTACTCGGGTGAGGGGACTGCAAAAAGTTTGTGGAAAATGGAAGCAAAAACTAAGTTTATTTGCAAAAAAGTTTTTGAAATCTCTGTGTGTAATCTTAAGCATTTTCCAGGAAATCTTGGAGATTCCCATATGCACAGATTTCAAAATTTTTTGCACAAAATAAACTTATCTCTTGATTTTCCATTTTCTGTGAAGCCTCTTCGTGTTTCTCTCACACGCGTATGTGTGCACATGTGCGTCGTTAGCACACTGGACACACACTGCCCATGGCCACTTCCTCAATATTTTATTGTGCACATAAAGTTGAACTATTTAGTCAATATCCATATGACCACTGGGGTTATTCTAGGATTAACATTTTGTGTGCAGTCATCCCCCAGTGTCCAGGGAGTGTCGTTCCAAAAACCGCACAGAGACCAGAATCTCAGCTGGAGCAAGTCCGCCTTGGAAGCTGGCACCGTGTTTGTTTGCCGCGCATGCGTGCTGCAGCACCCCACCAAAGATGGCGCTGTGTTTGCATGGCGCGCATGCGTGCATAAGTCCGCCATGGAAGCTGGCGCCATGGTTGCCTGGCGCGCATGCGTGCTGCAGCACCCCACCAAAGATGGCGCTGTGTTTGCATGGCGCGCATGTGTGCATGAGTCCGCCATGGAAGCGGGCGCCATGTTTGCCTGGCGCGCATGCGTGCTGCAGCACCCCCCCCCCCACCAAAGATGGCGCCGTCGTAGCCAGGAGTATAGCGCGTCTCCCGCGTGCCTGCGCCACCTCTGGGTTGCTCGTGAAACCATACAACGCCCACGCTCCGTCCGCAGTCGGCGCACTGGATGGCCTAGGGAAGAACGATAAGAGAAGGCTGAGCCTGTTAGCGCAGGTGCAGTTTTTGGAGTGTTTTTGCGATGCGGTTGTGACCGCTGGCGTCACTGTGGCTCTCGCGGCCTTCCTTGGGCATCGGTGTCCCGTGGTCACGGCCACGCGCCCTGTTGGCAGGAGGCGTGGGCTCGTGCTGCAGCCTGGGTGCGCCGGTCCCGCCCCCTCCCTCTTCCTTGGCAGCCCGAGACGCTGCTGAGCCGGGCCGCCGTGGCCCTCAGCGGGGCTGCGACAGTGGGAGCGCCGGCCGGGGCCTGCCGTGGGCCGCCCTCCGCACCCCGCCCGGGAGGTGACGCTTCCTGCAGAACGGGACGACAGCTTCGGCGTCCACGCTCCGAACGCATACACCAGGGAATCAGACCCAGGCGCGCCCCCGCCCCCCGAGCTGCGCAGCCCGCGGTGTGGAGAGCCGGAGCCACGCCTGGGCTCTGCGGGCCTGCGTCCCGTCACCAGCGCTCGGCACCGCAGCCCGGCTGCTGGAACCGGAGTGCCACCCTGGCGGCCCCGCAGACGTGCCTGGCCCTGTTCCAGGAGCGCTCGGCTTACAGGGACACGTGACGGCTGGGGTTCGGCCGAGGGCTGTGGCGAGGACCCCTGTGCTGGGTGAGCGAGGGCAAGCCCCTCCCCGCACGCCCTTGATCCCAGGGTGCTTGTAGGGTGCAGCATTCAAACCCCACAGCCACCTACCGGGTGGGGCTCCGACCCAGTGAGGGATCCGGCCCCACAAGGGCTGCCTGGGCCTCAGCGCCCAGTCTGGCCTGCCCTGCCCCGCCCCGAGGCGCGAGGTGTCCCCGTGCTGCCACCGGGCCCATGGGCAGGGTTCTTACCCCAAGGACAGAGCTGGCTGCAGCCTCATAGAACGCGGGGGCCTCTGGAGGGTCCCCTCCCAGCACCTCCCTGTCCCAGCCGTGTGCCCAGGCTGGGGGGTCCCAGATTCACAGGTGAACCTGAGGCAAGGTCACTGGCTCGCAGGTGGACCCTGACCCCAGGGCCGCAGCCTTGGACAGCTGGCTGGTGACTTCCTGTGCTGCGTTCCTGCCATGAGCTGGAGCAGACGACGCGGGCCCGGCCCTGCCACACGTGCTGGCTGTGCCAACGGCAAGGCCCTCGGGCAGCCCACAGCCCTGCTGGCCTCACAGCCCAGGAACGCCCTTGTAAATGTTCATTGAACACAGGGCCTGGGTTCAAATCCCGACCTGCCCGCAGCTGTCTCCCACCTGCGTGCCTGGGTCTCCTCACATGTAGAGTGTGGATGATAATAGAATCCCTTTCCCGTGCGTGCCTAGTGCAGACAGGAGAGGACGGGATGCGTGATGCTGTTGCAACAGTTCCCGCCCCGTAGTAAGTGCCGTGGCCGTGCGCTCGGTCCTGTGGTTGAGGTTCTCTCCAGCGCTCAGTGTGGTGCTGGCTCGTAGCAGCAGCTCCGTAAGCATTCTTCAAGGCAGGCGGGAGCCACGTAGGAAATCGGGCCCAGACGGAGTTCTAGAACATTTCTGTCCTTTAGAGCTTTCCGCGGTGCTGCCAGTGTGCCTTATCCGTGGGCAAGACATGGTAGGGGAGGACTCGCCACGTGTGGCCACCGAGCACATGGACATACGGTGCTGTGCCCGGGGAACTGTGCCTTAATCGTGTTGGAGGTTAATTCATTGCAACTGAGATGGCCGCGTGTGTGCAGGGCCGCCCATTGGTGAGGGCGGCTGCAGAGTGTCGGTCCATCGGGCTGCCGTTACCAAACGTGCCAGACCGGTGTCCTTTTACCACAGGGCTCGCAGTTCACAGGTCTGAGGTCCAGTGGCTGCCCATGGCTCGCTGGTTCACGGACACCGGCTCCTTACTGTGTCTCACACGGACGGAACGGGCGAGCAGTGCCCGGGGCCCTGGTGCAGGGACGCGAGGGCTCCGTCTTCAGGATCCAGTCCCTTCCCGAAGGCCCCGCTGCCCAGTGCTGTCAGATTACAGATGAAGACGTGAACTTCTCAGGACACGAGCGTAGACTACAGCACTCCGGTATTAGCATTTTCACACATGTGCCAAAATTGATAACCGTAGGTTAGAGGTTTTTTAAAAAGATTTTTTTATTTATCTGAAATGTAGAGTTATAGATTGGTAGAGGTAGAGAGAGAGAGAGCGAGAGAGAGAGAAACCATCTATTCGCTGGTTCACTCCCCAAATGGCCACAGTGGCCGGATCTGGGCCATAACAAAGCCAGGAGCCAGGAGCTTCTTCCAGGTCTCCCACACGGGTGCAGGGGCCCAAGGGCTTGGGCCATCTTCCACTGCTTCCCCAGGCCACAGCAGAGAGCTATGGGAAGTAGAGCAGCTGGGACTCGAACTGGCGCCCACTTGGGTTGTCAGTGCTGTAGGCGGTGGCTTTAACCAATCCACCACAGCACCAGCCCCAGGACTAGAACTTCAGACCAGTACTTTCCACCCATCCATCCATGTCCCCATCCATCAGCCCGTCTGTCTTCCCATGCACGCATCCATCCAGTAAGTACTGTGCACCAGGTACTCCCATAGGAACTAAGGGACCCGGGCTGTGAGCTGCGTCCCAGGGATCTGCTCCTTGGTGACACAGACGTCCCTGCTCCATTGTGTGCCCTCTGGGGACAGATGTCCTTGGCGCAGGCCCTGCTCTGTCCAGTCTCGGGGACTTCGTGGCAGGGGAAGTGTGTCACCTGGAGGAGAGGCCTTTGCAGCAAGATGACCTGTGGCCCCGAAGCCCACTGTGCCTCCCCCACACCACCGACCGGTGCCTGTGCTGCGCGTCTGGGAGGCGGGGGTGTGCGCACTGGCGGTACTGACCGTGAGGCCGTCAGTCCAGCAGCGAGGGTGCCGGATGCTACAGCGGTGCCTGTAGCAGGGGATCCGTTGCTCAATGAAACAGTGATCCGGGCACAGGACTGACTGGGGTTTAACATGCTGTGCTTTGCCATGAGGGAGACCCATTTCCAGGCCAGAGGACTGGGACCGGCCCAACGCACAGAGCGGTCCGTGCCGGCCCACCGTGCTTCACCAAAGCCAGGCTCTCTAAGGAAGCGTGTTGCCAGCAGTCAGACTGCTGGGAGCACAGGACCGACTCGCCGTCTGCCTCCCGCCCGCCCGGTGGTCCACCTGTTCCCTCCGTTCCCCGAGGCATGCGGCCCTCAGGCTGTTTCCTTGACTTCTCAGGTCTAAGCCTCGGGGGTTCTGGCCCTGAGCCTGCGCTCTGGCTTCCTGCCGGCCACTCTGCTGAGTTCCCGATGCGGCACTGCGGGTTTCTGTTCTATTCTCTTACAATAAACGCAGCTCTTCCCTCCAGAGCCCACGGAGACATTGCAGCCAGGTGCCTGGGGACTTGAGCTACATCCCTACCCCCACGCTCAGTGAAAGGACTGACCCCCGGTCTCGTTTCTGAGCAGGACACTGGGCAGCCCCACCGCCGGCCTCTGCACCGTTTGCTTCCCTGGAGGAGTCCAGCTCTTCCGATTGACTCCCGATGTCTGTGTTTCCGGTTTGTTTGTCTCCTGTCTTCAAAGTTACGGCTCCCTGCAGAGAGAACTGGCTGGGAGGGAGACAGCAGGCATGGCGTGGGAGAGCCCTTAACGAAGCCTCCCTCCACCCCCCCGTTCACGATATGGGGAGGGGGTGTTTTGGTGCCCTGGGTTGGGATGCCCCCTGCATTGCCTCTCGGAGCGCCTGGGATCCAGTCCCGGCTCCTCCACTTCCTGTCCAGCGTCCTGCTGCTGTGCAGTGTGGGAGGCAACGGACAATGGCCCGAGTGCTTGGGTTCCTGCCGCCCGTGAGGGAGACCCAGATGGAGTTCCAGGCTCCTGGCTTTGGCCTGGCCCCGCACTGGCTGTTGGAGACATTAGGGGAGTGAACCAGCGGATGGAAGATCTCTCTC